GAAGTTGTGCTACATACAAAAGATAACAGACAAAGGGATGTCATTATTGACTGTAGAGACAATGCACTTGCAGCTTTAATAGGCATTTTGAAGGTTACAGTATCTTTGGAGAGGGACAAATATGAGGAATTCAGAAATTTTTCAGAAGGAAAATTAGATTTTTTGTTTTGGAGAATCTGGCTTTGTTTTCAGAAAGTTTAAAAAGAAGGAAGTATAACTTCTCCAAGAGATTCCACAATGATAGCCCCAAATAGCTGTGTTATGGATTAATCGTAATTTAAAATGAAATCACCACCTTCAAATTTGTTTTAGTGGTCAGTAAAATTTGTGAGCAAAACAGCACTGGGTGTACCGGGGAGTCTCTGCTCCACCAAGGCACACACCTTACATCCCGAAACGGAGTCCCTTTAAAGTGCAGCCTTCATGAATATTCATGAGGGTGGGGGTGCTCCCTGAGGGGTTTGCAGGTCGTCAACAACTTTTCGAGGGCTTCTCCTTCGCGGGCTTTTCTTTCGCGGGGTTTTTGTTGCCAGGGAAGGTTCGCCGGCTTTCCACCGTGGGGGAGGAGGGGGATGGCTCAGCACAGGTGTGCATGTATCCATAGTCCAGACAGGTCTAGATATAACACCATTTGGCCTGAAGACGGTGGCCATGTTAACTCGATTTTAACAAGTGATTTTAACCATAAAAAACCCTATATACATAATGCCTTATCTCTTTTTAAACCTTAGGTTACATGTAAAGTGCAAAAACATTTAGAACCATAACACTGTCTGACCACAACAAAGTTCAGCTACAATACAATCTGATGTTAACACAATTTCTTTTTATATTTAATTTACTGAATAATATTTTTAACCATAACTTGAGATTTGAATAAAAAATATCATATAGGTTTTATTACAATTTCAGTCAAGGTAAAGGCTGTCTGCCAAAGTTGCTCCTCCATCCAGGTTCCTTCCACAAGTGGATGTTTCACATGGGCAGAAGAGCAGCCCTACACAAGCTTCCCAAGCAGGTATAGATAAGGAATATGGCATCTTTACCAAAAGACCCCTTGCTTCATTTTTTTTTTAAAGGGCAAAGGTGCCCTTACAGGAGACAGAGAATTGTGATTGAAGGCTGATGTTCCTCTGACCTTTACAGCTAAGCATTTAATCACCAGTGAGGGGCATTCTGACCTTGACCTTTCCTACAGCCACTCTCTCATCCCCCAACACGAATCTCATTCTCTAGTGCCTAAATCTCCCCTGCCTGGAGTAGAAACCTCCTAAATCCATTGGTCCAATTGGCCCAAGGTCCCATTCTGGGGAAAGGGCACTCAAAGAGGTAGAGAGGGTAACATTGTGTTCCTTAGTGAACCTAGCCACCATATACATTTTCCAGCAGTGTAATTCCACTGAACTCAGTTGACTACATGAAGTTGTAAGCTGAGCAGAAAAGAGCTACATCACCAAAGATGGACCTGCTCATGGTAACTACTATTCTTCCATCACCTTCACATGAAATAATGGGAGTTTATCTTTGTTATGGGCATTCTTACCTCATTGTTTCCTTCACTCTGGAACTTTCAGTAGCTGGCCTCGAGCTATTAACATAAGCAATTCTATTGTCTTGATATACTGATTTGATATAAAGCAAAATTGGGAAAATGTAATCATAAAAAAATTAGATAAAAGATACTATGACAATTGCTCAGTTCTTATATAAATCAATATTACAACATACAATAAAGCTACTTGCAGTTTGGTTAAGTATTTGCTGTTACCTACCTAAAGGCCATCACTGTCTCGAAGTTTTCTGACTTGAACATGCTTCAGAGAGACAAAGTACATTCTTTCCTCTTCATTTATCATGTATTAGTATTTTGATTTAGTTTGAAAAATATAGCATTTACCCACCTCAGAGAGTTAGTTGTTCCACTTTTTATTTCTGAAAGAGTTTATTACCTTCAAACTCCTGAATCATTATGTCCTTCTTGAGCCTAACTAGCCAGATAGAACACGGGTACTTTTTCCTTTTTTTTTCTGTTGAATCCATGCTCCCTATCCTTTCACTATTTCTGTATTATGTGGTGTGCAATAAAATGTAGGCTTTGTTGTAATAATAAATAGATTAGATTGTATATATTTGATAGGTTGTATAGTGTTTCATTATCTTGGTCCTTCTGAGAGAGAACTTTTTCTTGCTTTTATAATAACACTAAAATATTAATGCTTTTGTACATTAAGCTAGCAGGATAGAATCAAAATACTGTCAAGCGCAAACATATTTAATATTGCTAAGATACTATAGCTCAGATGACTACTTTAGAACTGGTTTTACATAATGATACATGAACTAATATTTTACTACATATGACTGTAACAGTACTCAAAAGCAGTGTGTTTTAAGCCCTTTAGGCCATGTGCATTCTGTGTGCATGTTTCCTCTTCCAGCAGCAGGATCTGGACACAGAGGTCACTTCTCTCTTTTTGGTCATTGTTATTACTACATGAAACACTATTGTTCAGAGCAGTTAAAATATTAGAAGTGGCATCAGCTCGCCTCTACTTTTTCTTATGCTTCTTCCAGCAACAAAGATCCATTATTTGGTGCTAGAAAGATTTACAAGATCCGTGTAAAGAAGTTAATCTGCTGCCAGACCCTTGAATGTCATTTCAAAATATAATGTGTACACTGAGGTGGCATAGGATAAGTGTGGATATATTCAGTTACTTGCAATGCTTTGCAACATTCACAATATCTACAATTTAATGTACTGCGTTGTAAGAGTAATACCCTTGGTCACTGGACTTCCTCAGCAGCCACATGTATTACTTGAAGCATCAGTCATTTAGTTTTGGAAAGTTATGATGGGTATTCACAGTTCAGTTTTGGGATGCAGTTACTTTAACACAAGTCTTTCCCCCACCCCACCCCACCCCAATAGATTTTAATATATCCCTCTGTATTACCACTCCTCTATACTGTTCTGTTACCAGGACTTTCTTCCACCAGTTATTTTTAGAGCTGAAGCTTTTTAAGTGGGTCAGACCTAAGCATGTGGAAACTGTTTGCTCATTTTGAAAACAAAGTTACAGGTTGTAATGTTTTTTTTTTTTCTGCCCTGGTAAAGACAGCCCGACCTGGCAGAGTAGCTGGTAGGACTTTGACATGTACCACCAACTTTGTAAAACCTATGCATTCTATAAACTAAGTTTGAGGCCCCGACGAATCAGTAGAGGGACGCAGTGATAATCTACAAGAACAGCATTTACTAGTACAAAACAAAAGGATAATAATGATAAGTAAAATAATGCCCAATAAAGAAAAAAAGGCAACATGAATCAGAATTAATGCTAAGAACTGATCCATTTTTTAACAAAAGATATCACAAAACGACTACAACCCTGCAGATCCACGCGGTCGGCTGCTCCGGTCTGCTGGGGTCAGGATCAGCATGCGCAGTGGGAAGAAAGGCTCTCCGCACCCCTTCTATCCCAAAGCGCATGCGTCATTTGAATCTAGAAAATTCTATTTTACTTTACAAAACAAAGACATCTTACAAACTAAACTTAAAATTCTAAAGCGTCAGCAAAAGAACAAGAAGGCAGTTGAAATATTAAAATAACAAATATGGCAATAGCTGATAAAACAAGAATTAAACCAGCACAGAAATGCAATCTATATACATGGCTACGATAGATTCCAAAGCTCCAAAATGGAAGCCTAAATATGCAGCAAGAAAAAGGATTTCCACGCCCCCAGTCCAAAGTGCATGTGTTGTTTAGGCCTAAAAGCACTTATTCTAAATATAAACAAAAAGACAAGTACAATGGTTTGAGTAGTAAAAGAATTTACTAAGTAAGAAGAAAAGGGGGGAATGAGATAGGGAATTAAAATAATTTCAGATTGATGGTGCAGGACTGAGGAGCTTGCGCCAAGACGAGGGGGCTATGCACAAAGACATACCAGGTTTTGATACTGTTGCTAAGATATTATCTTCTGGCTCATACAGAAGCTTCTTGAAGTAGTAGCTTGTCCTTGAAGTAGTACAAATTAGCAATAGATCACCTAAAATCCTAGTACAAACTGGTCTCGAGGTTTGGTTGGGAGCCAGGGAACAACTGAGGCTGCGCAGAAGGACAAGGTAAAAAGTTCATCAGCGAGGAAGAGGAGATACTTCATCTATACGACCCCCACCCAGGAATTTGTGACCACCAAAGGAACTCAACGCGCAGACGCAAGAGGAGGAGACCTAATTACCATGAGAAGCGAGGGGAGGCGGGGAAATATTATGTTTATGTATAAGCATTCTATGAATATGCATTATTTTGTAATATATAAGCAGGACGGGAGATGCAAACGATGCGCATGCTTGTGGAGGAGCTATCCCCCATGCGCCCAGCGCTGAATAAACATACCTACTTTACAATCCATCAGATTGTGGAGTGTGATTCCGCAAGTCAATCTACTCCTGAGTATAACTGTAAGCTTTTTCTCAATCTTTCAAGCCATTCAGTGGGTGTTTCATCCTTCTTCTGCTGTTCACTGAAAGCTTTATTAATATTCTGCCCTCGGGGAACTGACTCCCTAATTCCTTGAATTATAATCATTCTTAAATCTGCCATATGGGTTCAGTGGCCTGGGTCTTGATTTATTCCAATTAGGTCTTAATAACGGCCACTTCTGATCTGCTGCGGGACCCAGTTAATGTTGTTGGTTCCGAAGTCTCATACCTGCCCTCCTAACCATATCTCACTCCTCCATGGTAAATAAAATTCCTAGGATAGATTGTAATTCATCCCAGGTATATAAATTTGGGCCAAGAAATTGGTCCACCCATTCGGCTACACCAATTGGATCCTCCAATAGGTTCCCCATTTCTTTTTTGAAGTCCCTAACATCTCCAGTGTTAAGGGGAACAGCAACATACCCTGCTCCTGGTTCTCCTTGTGCCCCTGCTCCTGGCACAAGCATCTCCCTAAGAGGGTATAATCTCCCTTCCTTAACCTTACTTCGGGTGACCCACTGAGGGGGTTTGGGAGATTCAGGGTCAGAATCAGAACTATTTTGTTCATCTGAATTCTGGGGAGATGGTCCTTGATGGTTTGGGGCATATGGAGGTGGCCATAAGTGATCGTCTGATTCCAGATGAGGTTTCTCATGTTTCTTTTCCTTAAGGGGAAACAGAGAAACCAGCTCTGGGGTCTGGAACATCCAGAGAGCAGCATACTCACTCTCTTCGAGATTTTTGGGTTGTTTGTTATTTACCCACATATTTAGTTCTTGACATAGCCAATCATCAAAAAACCCAAACATGGGCCAAAATATATGTGGGCTCTGGAGGGGCTGTCCTCCCCATACCTTAATACAATAATAGATCATAATCTTTTTGCTTTTATCCTTGTTTCTTGGGGAATTATTCCAATTCTTTAACATTACTCCTAAAGGACTACCTGGTGGGATATCTGGCAACTTTCCCTTGGCCCCACCCATGGATCCAGAGGGCTTGCTCTTCCTCTGTCCCATCTTCCAGAGTGCCTTCTTTCACACACACACACGCTTCCCCTTATTCGTGACTCGCTCCCTCGCGGGCTACGAGAACTGCACTAATAAAGGGTCCACACTCAGGTGATCTCTTCGAGACCTCTCACTCACTCGCACTTCTGGGATCACCAACCCCAACCGAATCGGAATATCACAAATACTTACTCCTCCCTGGAGTCTTCGACCGGTCTTCATGCACGAAATTTAAGGGGTTCTGCAGATTCTTTTGCTCACTCTCGAGTCCGAATTAAGGGGGTTTGGATATCCAGCATTTGGCCACGAAAGTCCCAGGCTGGGGCTATCCGAAGATAGGCACCTCCCCTGACCTGAGGTTTCGTACCAAAAGATCTGGATCCGAGTCACGGCACCAGATTTGTTATGGATTAATCGTAATTTAAAATGAAATAACCACCTTCAAATTTGTTTTAGTGGTCAGTAAAATTTATTAGCAAGCGAAAGTGAGCAAAACAGCGCTGGGTGTGCCGGGGAGTCTCTGCTCCACCAAGGCACACACCTTACATCCCGAAACGGAGTCCCTTTAAAGTGCAGCCTTCATGAATATTCATGAGGGTGGGGGTGCTCCCTGAGGGGTTTGCAGGTCGTCAACAACTTTTCGAGGGCTTCTCCTTCGCGGGCTTTTCTTTCGCGGGGTTTTTGTTGCCAGGGAAGGTTCGCCGGCTTTCCACCGTGGGGGAGGAGGGGGATGGCTCAGCACAGGTGTGCATGTATCCATAGTCCAGACAGGTCTAGATATAACACCATTTGGCCTGAAGACGGTGGCCATGTTAACTCGATTTTAACAAGTGATTTTAACCATAAAAAAACCTATATACATAATGCCTTATCTCTTTTTAAACCTTAGGTTACATGTAAAGTGCAAAAACATTTAGAACCATAACACTGTCTGACCACAACAAAGTTCAG